TTAATGGTAGGAAGAAGACCTTTTTGGGATAGAAATCATAATACAGAACTTATAATTGAAATATGTGATGGTTTACGTCCACCAATTATTACAAATGCACCTGAAGATTATATTGATTTAATGAAAGAATGCTGGCATTCTGATCCAGAAAAAAGACCAACAGCAGATGAAGTATTAGAAAAAATTAAAGAAATATACAAAATTGAAAAAACAAAATTTTATTACAGAACGAATGAGACTAAAATTATAAAATCATCAGATATTGGACCTATAACAACAAATAATCCTGATGCCATATATAAGAGTAGATATTTAAGTGGTATGATAAAATCTGCAGCTTCTACAAGAAGTTTAAGAAGCCAATCTAGTATTACTTTAAAACTTGGCAAGTAATTCGTATTTTGATTGTATTTTTTCTTAATATAAATTAAATAATTTTAACTTTCGTTCAACCAGATCAACTCGATTTTTACCAAAGAAATTCTAATGGTAATTATTTATTTGTTTGATATAATTTTTATATTTAGTTAGTATTGTAATCTAACGAATCATATTATTTTTAAGATAAAAGAAAGTTTGAAGATAATCACTTTATCAATGGTACAGTAACAAACAAAAATTTCATAATGATGAAGTAATCATATTGATTTAAGATATTTTTTTATTAGGTACAGGTAATAAAAAGATCAAACCAATTGAAGACGAGAATAATGGTAAATAGTAGTAATTGTTTTTTTTTCGCATAGTAAAATTTTTATTTATAAGTTATTGTGCTTTGTAACGATTAATATCACAATTATTAACCAATGATTGGTAAAGATTTGGTCACGTAGTGGTCAAATCTGTCCAATCGGAATGCTAGAATTGGTTAATAATTGTATATTTATCAGCGCAAGATATTATCGTGTGACCCATTATATGGACTTAGCTTAATTATAGCTTAATTATAGCTCGTTTTTGATTTTTTAAAAATAACAAAATTATCGGCAATTATATACGGAACACGATAATTTTTTATTTAGATTACGATATAAAAGAACTTGAACTTGATATCAATATAAATTCTAAACAATTTAGTGATGATGGTACGTAGATATAATAATAATTAACAATATTTAATTTACAATCTAATTTGTACATTTTACTTTAATTTATAGAATATATTACTAGCGAAATCAATTTTGATATTTAATACTTTGAATGTCCAAATTATTTAATTTATTTCATGTTATAATACATATTTTGTTCATTATATAATAATTATAAGTTATAATTTTCTACGATATATTTATCAATACTATATGACAAGCAATATGGATATCAATAATTACTAATAAATAATATCTGATATGCTTTATTTATAACAGATAATGTACGGGAAATACTACTTACGATTAAATTTCTACAGGTAGTGAGAAATTTGAAGTTTTCAAATATTCGTGACTGCAATTAACGAGGAAAAATTTTAATTTACAATTAATTTCGGTTATACAATTATTTATTGATATCCGAAAATTATTAAAAATAATTTTTATCGAAAATTGCATTTTTTATGGATGTACTATAAGATACTCTAAAAAAATTTTTTCCAATTAAAGTTCATTAAAAAAAATCGACAAAAACAAAATCGACAAATATTGAAGTAATTTTGTACATCCTATATACTGTATGATGTATGAAAAATGAAATATTTCATCAGAAAATTATTAAAAAAAATTCGCTCATATTTGTATTGCAAACTCTTAATTGACAGTATATGAACTTGAAATTATCAGCAAATCTTCAAAAAAACACGTTAAATATTAGAATGACACATTAAAGGTTTCGTTTGAAGACTGAGAATGATATTGGATAATTAGGCAAGAACGCAAGATAATTAGGTAAAATATGTTTTAAGGTTATTCATTTTATTTAACGTATAATATTGCGTCGTATATGGTATAAATTAAATAATTGATTAATTTTGATTTTATAAGCTATATATTATATACGAGTTAACGTGAAAGTGGAGGGAAAGGTTAGTTGCTATAGTTTCTACAAAGCAATTTTTTTTTACTGATATAATAATTATTCATATGTTATAATATTCCTCAATTATATTTGTCAGAGCTAAGATAGAACGAGGATCGAAAAAAAAAACTTGCATCATATGTGAATCGATGATCAGTTACCGGTTTTTATAGGCGTTTTTTAATATAGCTCTATTTATCTTAGTTGTTTGATTTTGAAACTTGAGAAAAATTAGGAGTAAATTAAAAAAAAAATACGGTTGATAATCAGCTGTAAATTGGTTGTTGTTATGCATAAAAATACATTAAACAAAATTAGAAGAAATTTCCTTCTTTTCCAGAATTTAATTCTATGTTGTATCACCGATAGATAATAAAAGAAATTTCTTTTTTTCCAGAATTTAATTCTACGTTGTACCAGTCTAGTGTTGCGATCCGTTGATCCGTCAATCCGTCAATCCGCGGATTTATCCGATTTGAAACCATCCGGATTGGATCCGGATGAAGATACGAATGAATGAATGATTCGTCATCTGCTATTTCTGTATATAAACCCGGATCCACTGATCCGTTTGATTAGTACTATTTTTATAGTAACGGATCCATTCGGATGGCTATCCGGATCATCGTAATTCTGGCAAAAATTATTATATTGAAATTCATACGGATGGTCATCCGAGTCCTCCATTTATTAACTGATCGGATTAAACAGATGACGAATCCATCCGGGTCGTAACACTAATTTGAGTAGCCTAAATTTCTTTGTATTTCTTATTAACTGTCGAGTGATACAGTATCACTCGACAGTTAATAAGAAATTTAGGCTACTCAAATGGTGTAACTATAATTAAGAAAATCTATCAAGAAGAGAGATTCGCATTCTATAGTTACATTTAATGATTACTTAAGGAAATCTCTATCGGAAATTGCATATAATAGAATAAGAATTTTGATTGAAAAAAAAATTCTGGGTTTAATAAATTGAAGGTATTTAAATGGACATTTACAACGCTCAAATTTTTTAAAAGAATTGTCGTAATAATAATGGAAAAATCAACAGATATTGGACATAAATTATTATCAATAAAATACGAAAAAGAGAAATGTGATGAATGTAATAAAATAAGAACACCTTCAGTCGAAAACCATCAGATTTGTTATACTTGTTACCATGCAAAAAAAAGAATTAGACCAAGTGGAAATAAAACTATTGATGATTTTATCAGATATACTCATACTAATTATCCTAACAAAAATAATGGGAAAATGATATTTGTTCCTTACGAAAAATTCGAAAATATAAAACTTATTGGTGAAGGAGGTTTTAGTAAAATTTATAAAGCTACTTGGATTGATTCAAAAATTTCTGATAATGATACTCTAAATTATTCCCTACAAAATAAGTCTAAAATTGTTGCTCTTAAAAAGCTTACCGATTCTAAAAATATTACTTCAAAAGAACTAAACGAGGTAAATATTCTATATTAATTTTAATAATAAACTTTATATATGGCAGATACTAGTAATAAACAAATGAATTTTTATTTCAGCTTAAGATATTTTATCATTATTCTTTAAGTGGGAAGAGTTATGATATTTACGATAGTTATTCAGGTCTTGTTAACGTATATTATGGTATTACTCAAGATCCTGTTACTCAAGATCTTATATTTATTATGCCATATTATGATTCGGATTTGACAAATTATGTGACTAAAGATTTTTTTGATATTAGATGGTATCATAAGTTAGATAGATTAAAAGAAATTATAAATGGACTTGCTAAAATTCATAACGTAAATATTTTACATCGAGATTTACATAGTGGAAATATTCTTTTAAGTAATTTATATGACTATGCACCTAGTATGAAAGCAAAAATATGTGATTTAGGAACAAGTAAATCAGCAACAGAAAATGACGATAATAATGATAATGAAGAAGACAACATTTATGGCATAATCTCTTATGTTGCACCAGAAGTTTTACAAGGAAAAAAATATACCAAAGCTTCAGATATATATAGTTTTGGAATGATTATGTGGGAGTTAATGATAGGAAGAAGACCTTTTTGGGATAAAAAACATAATACAGAACTCATAATTGAAATATGTGATGGTTTACGTCCACCAATTATTACAAATGCACCTGAAGGTTATATTGATTTAATGAAAGAATGCTGGCGTTCTGATCCAAAAAATAGACCAACAGCAGATGAAATATCAAATAAAATTTATAATGTACGTTATAATGGGAATGCGGTTCAAACTAATATTATAGAATCATCGGATATTGGACCTGTAACAACAAATAATCCTAATGACATATATAAGAGTAGATATTTAAGTGGTATGATAAAATCAGCAGCTTCTACAAGAAGTTTAAGAAGCCAATCTAGTATTACTTTAAAACTTAGTAAGTAATTCGTATTTTGACTGTATTTTTTTATTTTTTTCATAATATAAATTAAATAATTTTAACTTTCGTTCAACTAGATCAACTTGACTTTTACCAAAGAAATTCTAATGGTAATTATTTGTTCATTCGATATAATTTATTCATTTGAACTATTATTAACGGCATTACATATACTTTTTTTTTAAGATAAAAGAAAGCTTAAAGACGGAGACAGCTTTAACAATGGTATGGAAATTTTCATTATTGTAAAAAACTTATGTTTATTAATTTAAAAAATATTTTTTAGGTACAAGTAATAAAAAGATTAAACCAATTGAAGACGAAAATAATGGTAATAGTAATTTTTTTTTTTTCACATATAATTTTCATAGTAGAATTTACTATATATATTTTTTTATTTAGATTACGCTACAAAAGAACTTGAACTTGATATCGACATGAATTCTAAACAATTTAATGATGGTACGTAGATATAATAACAATTAACAATATTTAATTTACAATCTAATATGTACATTTTACTTTAATTTTATAGAATATATTACTACCGAAATCAATTTTGATATTAATACTTTTTTGATGCTTTGAATGTCCAAATTTATATAATTTATTTCATGTTATTATACATATTTTGTTATATAATGATTATAAGTTATAATTTTCTACGATATATTTATCAATACTATATGACAATAATAAAATGGATATTGATAATTACTAATAAATAATATCTGATATGCTTTATTTATACTAATAGATAATGTACGGGAAATATTACTTTTTCTTTAAAAATTTAATCCTATGCTGTTTCATCTACAGGTGGAGTTTTCAAATATTCGTGACTGCAATTAACGAGGAAAAATTTTAATTTACAGTACAATACAATTATTAAACATTATTAAAAAGAATTTTTTATCGAAAATTGCATTTTATATGGATGTATAGGATACCCTAAAAAATTTCAAGTTCATCAAATAAAAATAATCGACAAATATTAAAAATAATAATGACGCACTTCCAATGTCAACCAACAGACAACATTAAACTATAGAGCAAACACATTGAAGTTATTTTGTATATCCTATATACTGTATGTCTTTATAAAAAAAATTTTGAAAAAAACTCCGATAAATGATCATTTTTCTAGTTTTCATTCCGAAGAAACTCAGACACGTGATCATTTTTCTGAAAATTTTTGTAGGGTCTACCAGAATTATTTTATAAGCTATATATTATTACTGTATATACGAGTCTTAACGAGCTAACATGGAAGGGGAAGTAGTTGCTATAGTTTCTTCAAAGCATTTTTTTTTTACTGATATAATAATTATTTATAAGATTTCTCAATTATATTTGTCAGAGCTAAAATAAGAACGAAAACTTGCGACCATATGTGAATTAATCGAACATTCGATGATCGGTTACCGGTTTTTTTAGGTAGCTCTACTTAAAAGTTCCCAACTTTAATTTCCAAAGGTTTATCTCCGGACTCTTGATGTCGAATTCTTACAAAACATTCCCTAAAAACTTCGAAACTTACTTTAATTGTTTGATTTTGAAATTTGAGAAAAATTAACAAGAGTAAATTTTAAAAAAAATGTTTGATAATCATCCATTTATATCAAAATTACACAAAAAAAAAAAGAAATTTCTTTTGATTCCAGAATTTAATTCTATGTTGTATTACCTAACAGATAATACAAAGAAATTTAGGTTCCTTAACTACAATTAGGAAATCTATCAAAGAAGAGAGATTTCGATTTCGAATTTTATTGCATTCTATATATGTACATTTAATGATTACTTAAGGAAATTTCTATTGGAAATTGCATATAATAGGATAAAAATTTGGTTGAAAAAACTCCGGGTTTAATAAATTGAAGGTATTTAAATGGACATTGACAACGTTCAAAATTTTAAAAGAATTGTCGTAATAATAATGGATGAATCAGCGGATATTAGACATAAAATTGATTTTTTACTATCAAGCGATGCACAACCAACACAAACTAAGATTGCAACAAAATACAAAAAAACGAAATGTAGTGAATGTAACAAATTAAGAAGACCTTCAAAAAAAAATCCCCAGATTTGCTGTACGTGTTACAAAGCAAAAAAAAGAATTATACCGAGTGGAAATAAAGTTATTGATGATTTTATCAGATATACTCAAATTAATGATACTAAAAAAAATGGGAAAATGATGTTTGTTCCTTATGAAAAATTCGAAAATATAGAACTTATTGGTGAAGGAGGTTTTAGTAAAATTTATAAAGCTACTTGGATTGATTGTAAAATTTCAAAATGGGGTACTCTAAATTATACCCTACGAAGTAAACCTAAAACAGTTGCTCTTAAAAAGCTTACATATTCAAAAAATTTTACTTCAAAAGAGCTAAATGAGGTAAAATTTCCATATTAATTTTATTAATAAACTTTAAATATGTGACAAATAATAAGCAAATAAATTTTTATTCCAGCTTAAGATGTTTTATCACTATTCTTTAAGTGAGAAAGTTTTAAGAAATATTTACGATGATGGTTATAGTCTCGTTAGTATATATTATGGAATTACTCAAGATCCTAATACTCAAGATCTTATATTTATTATGCCATATTATGATTCGGATTTGACACATTATCTAACTAAACGTTTTTTTAAAGTTGCTTGGTATGAAAAGTTACGTAGATTAAAAGAAATTATAAATGGACTTGCTAAACTTCATAACGTAAATATTATACATCGAGATTTACATAGTGGAAATATCCTTTTAAACAGCTACTATGCAAAAACAAGTGATTTAGGAACAAGTAAATCAGCAACAGAAAATGACGATAATAATGACAATGAGGAAGACAACATTTATGGCATAATTCCTTATGTTGCACCAGAGATTTTACAAGGAAAAAAGTATACCAAAGCTTCAGATATATATAGTTTTGGAATGATCATGTGGGAATTAATAGTAGGAAGAAGACCTTTTTGGGATAGAAATCATAATACAGAACTTATAATTGAAATATGTGATGGTTTACGTCCACCAATTATTACAAATGCACCTGAAGGTTATATTGATTTAATGAAAGAATGCTGGCGTTCTGATCCAAAAAATAGACCAACAGCAGATGAAATATCAAATAAAATTTATAATGTACGTTATAATGGGAATGCGGTTCAAACTAATATTATAGAATCATCGGATATTGGACCTGTAACAACAAATAATCCTTATGCCATATATAAGAGTAGATATTTAAGTGGTATGATAAAATCCGCAGCTTCTACAAGAAGTTTAAGAAGCCAATCTAGTATTACTTTAAAACTTAGTAAGTAATTCGTATTTTGGCTGTATTTTTTTATTTTTTTCATAATATAAATTAAATAATTTTAACTTTCGTTCAACTAGATCAACTTGATTTTTACCAAAGAAATTCTAATGGTAATTATTTGTTCATTCGATATAATTTATTTCATTTGAACTATTATTAACGGCATTACATATACTTTTTTTAAGATAAAAGAAAGCTTGAAGACGGAGACAGCTTTAACAACGGTACGGAAAATTTTCATTATTGTATATGTTCTATGTAAGCACTGGACATTTTTCACGTATGTTATTGATCACTTTATAATAGTGATACACAAATTTTGGTCACTTTATAATTAGTGATATACAAAATTTTGATCACATTATTATAAAATAATAAATAAGATACGCGAAAAAGGTCTCAGTTGCTTTACGTCATACATATCCAATAACTTTATTATCAGTCATGTTTATGATAACTGATTTACACTAGGATGCTACTCTATCATGTGGCCTTCGGCCATATGATATACATAGCAATCCTAGTGGTAAATCAGTTATCATCTACAACATGACCGATAACAATTACTTATTGTAAAAAACTAATGTTTATTAATTTAAAAATATTTTTTAGGTACAAGCAATAAAAAGATTAAACCAATTGAAGACGAAAATAATGGTAATAGTAATTTTTTTTTTTCACATATAATTTTCATATAGAATTCATGTATTTTTTTTTATTTAGATTACGCTACAAAAGAACTTGAACTTGATATCGACATGAATCCTAAACAATTTAGTGATGACGGTAAGATTTTATAATGATTGTCTATATTTAATTTACAATCTAATACGTAACATTTTAATTTAATTACTTTATAGAATATATTACTAGCGAAATCAATTTTGATATTTAATACTTTTTGATGCTTTTAATGTCCAAATTGAATTTAATTTATTTCATATTATTATACATATTTTGTTATAGAATTACTATATAGTTATAATTTCTACAATATATTTATTATTACTAGCTATACGACAATAATAAAATGGATACTAAATAATTATCTAATATGCTTTATCTAATATTTATAATGTACGGAAATGATGTATAAACCAATCAAAATTTGCATTACGTATTAAAAAAATTTTTAATTCTATACTGCATCATTTCAAATACTCGTGACGAAATCTATCAATAAATTTCGGTTAAAACAATTATTAAAAAGAATTTTCTATCGAAAATTACATTTTATATGAATGTATAGGATACCTTAAAATTTTTTTTTCAATCAAGTTCATGGCAAAATCGACAAATATTAAAAATAATGACCCACTTTCAAAGTCGACCAACACAGCAGACAATGCATTGAAATTATTTCATCCTATATAGTACTGTATGTAGAAAAATTATTAAAAAAAATTATAAAGTCGCTCATATTTGTATTGAAAATTCTTATTGAGGTTTAACGGAAAAATTATCGTGTAACTATGAAGAGTTCAGTCTTTGAAGACTTGAAATTATCAGAAAACCTTCAAAAGAACACGTTAAAGATTAGAATGACACAACAAAGTTTCGTTTGAGATTTGAATTTTGATATTATATGATGGTGGATTGTAAAATATGTTTTATTAATGTTATTCACTTTATTTAACGTATAACATTGCTTTAAATACCTCGGTACAAATTAACAAAATAATTGATTTAATAATAATGGATATTTTGTGCAATACAAGCCTAATTCTATATTTTTATAAGCAATTTATAAGCTGTACATTATATTCGAGTCTTTTTGCGTGGAAAGTATTATCATCTCGAAAGGGAAGATAGTTGCTATAAAGTTTTTTTTTTTTTTTTTACGGATATAGTAGTACTAATTATTATTATAATTTATAAGTTATAGAACGTTAATTTCCAAAGTCTTATTACCAGACTCGTGATGTCAAATTCCTACAAAACAAATGATTTCCACCCTCTAAAAACTTTTCAGCATTCCTATTCTAGATATTTAACGAGGAAATAATAATAATTAATTCACGTAATTAAATAATTCATATTGATAAGACTCCGTTATTTTATCATAATATATTACACAAAAAAGAAATTTCTTTTTCTTTCAGAACTTAATCATTCTATGCGATATTGGCATTTCACAAAAATTCTCATTATTTTTCAGACGTACCACATAATCATTTGATTTCCTAAAAAAATTCTCCTAATTCTTAGGAGATCCTAAATTAAATTTTTTACCCCTGAGAATCACCCTTTTTGGATTA